TGATGTGGATATGGAGAATTGAGTAGAGGTAGATAGAGTGAATGATATAATTTGATATGAGGGTGTATGTAATTAGTGTGTAGTTTATGTGTTGATGATGTTGTTGGTGATTGTGTAGTGTGTGTGTGTGTTGTTGTGTTTGTTGTTGTTATTGTTGTGTGGTGTGGTGTGTGTGTGTGTGTTTGTGTGTGTGTGTGGGTGTGTTTGTGTGTGTGTTTGTGTGTTTGTGTGTGTGTTGTGTGTGTGTGTGTGTGTGTGTGTGTGTGTGTGTGTGTGTGTGTGTGTGTGTGTGTGTGTGTGTGTGTGCGTGCGTGCGTGCGTGCAATTGACAATGGTTGCTCTGTAGAGCGGAAGTGACCTGCTGCGTTACTCTACGCAGCAAGGAGAGTGAAGCGAAGAATTCGAAGCCATCGCAGCGGAAATGTCTTTAGTGTTTTTCTCTTCGTTATGCAACACGGGCATGTGAATAGCGCGTGTGTGACGAATATTTTGGTACGATAAGCACTATTAAAGCGATATAGTGAGTTGTAAAAACGACGCTCGTATTTCCCTTCGTATGAATATATTGCGGGCTTTGTGTGGACGTTCTTGGTCTCAGTGTTGTGTTAACATTTCGTCAACACAACTGGGTTTTGTGGGTCCCGACTGGCGCGGGGCTTTTTCATGTTGATTGGGCTGGTAGCTTTTCGTTCTTTGTTTTTGTTTGCGAATTGGAGATGATGGACAATTGTGAAGGGGTCGACTTCCGCGCCACGGGAGGGAATCCCCCGATTGAAGGAGCGCCCGTCGGGCTGCGTAGGAAGAGGCGAGATAAATGAACTCTCACTTGAAGTTGAAGTGTAAACGGCCCTCGCAGTACACTGGCGCGGCGTGGTTGGACGAGGAGCTGTACTTCGCGGTCCATTCAGTAATCAAGTAACACGCATGCACGTACGCACACGTATGCGCATATGCGCACACACGGGTACGTACATATTCACGCAGCCACGTACTCCCTATCCAACCCAACACTCATGTGCATACGTACACATACGTACACACACACACACGCACACGCCCCCCCCCCCACACACACACATGCCCACGCCCACGCACACAGACACGCCCACGCACGCACACACGCCCACGCGCACACACACACGCGCGCACACGCGCACACGCGCGCACACACGCGCGCACACGCGCGCACACCACACGCGCACACGCGCACACGCACACACGCGCACACGCGCACACACACGCACACGCGCGCACACACACGCACACGCGCGCACACACACACACACACACACACACACACACACACACACACACACACACACACACAACACACAAAGCAACAAAGGTCAGAAAGCAGTCTCCACCCTCCCTCATCTCCCCGTAGATCCAGTAATATATGTATGTACATGCACGTGTATATACGTATATGTAAGATATATGTGTACATGCGTGCGTGCGCCCAGCAGGTCGAGGGTGCAGGCGATGCGTGGAACGCCGCGAAGGAGGATCATCACGCTGCACGGGGCGGGGAGCGGGAAACCTGCTCCCCCTTCGCATCAAAGTGGATCAGAGTTGCTTATACGGAGAATTACAGCGGCATTATGATGTCGTGGATCGCTTAATCCTCCTTTCTATTTCACGGGATTATCTTCATTATTCGCAATGGGGGCGTTGCTGTTTATCAGTCACCAGGGATCGGCCTGGCGCGGGCGGCCTGGATTGATTCGCTATTCCGGTCTTCATTTTTGGTGGGGCGAGAGAGGGGCAGGCAGGCAGTCAGGCGGGCAAGCAGGCAGGCAGGCAGGCAGGTGGACAGAAGACAGACAGGCAGGCAGCAGACAGGCAGGCAAGCAGGCAAGCAGACAGGCATGCATGCAGGCAGGCAGGCAGGCAGGCAGGCAGGCAGGCAGGCAGGCAGGCGGGCGGGCGAACGAAAAGTCGGTAACATGTCGCATACCCTACCGTCGTCCACCTCTACCCCCAATTCCTCTTCGCCGGGTTCCACCCTCTCCTCCTTACCCCATACCCCATCCTTATCCCGTATCACCTCTGCCCTTCACCCCCCCCCCCAGGCTCATCTGCTAATGGAGCGCAACAGCGTGTTCGGATTCCATCTCAGGTGGATCTCCCGGACGGCGAGCCACAAAAGTCGCCTTCTTTAAGGTGGCATCTTTGTCCCGGGAACGCGGCTGCCTGCGACGTCCCTCCTCGCGTCCTGCCGGAGAGGTCCTCGGGGAGGGGCGGGCTCCAGGAACGGGTGCTTGTAGACTGCAGATCTGGTGTTTTTTTGTTTATGTGTATATGTGTGCCTGTATACATAGATTCAGACATATATATGCTTTTATGTGTACATATACATACGTCATAACTATAGACGCGGAGCGGCGCGGGCGTCGCCTGGGGCGAGCCCGACCGCGGAGATAATGCTCCCGAAGGCGGTCAAGGCCGCAACGTTTCAATCCGGCGCGGGCGCGAGCGGTCACGCGGTGCTTCGTGAGGCGCGAGGGCGGCGCGGGACGAGGAAGCCCGGGGTTTTATCTCGTCATGGCAAGCAGTGCGAGTAGGGGGTGTTGGGAGTGGGTGTAAGATGGGGCTCAGGTGGTGTGGGAAGGGGACGGGGCAGGGGGGCAGGGGGGAAGGGCTCTGGGAGATGTGCTCGCCCCTTACATCATAATTTGCCGCGATTGCTTCAGTTTCTGCCACGTAGCGAGCTGACTTCAACGCGCGCGATCGCTCCGTGTGTATAATAGCTCGGTGTTTACACTTGTATGGTTCATGCTGGGCGTTGTCGTAATTTTTTTTCAAGCTGCGAGGCGGGAAAAAAACAAGCGATTCTTATCTTGGAGTTAATTGAAGTCTAGCGGTGCATGACAACCGGCCGAGGAAAGCGGAGGTGATCCGCGGAGGCCTTGGAGGATCACGCGCCCTTCCAGTCTAAGGAACGCCAGGGCGGGGTGACGGTGCGCGCCGCCGTTGCTGCTGCCGCTGCTCCTTCTGCTGCCCTCGGCTGCTGGCGTCGGCCGAGGCCGGGGCGCGGCTCATTGCCTTCATTCAGTCTGCGATCGTCCCTCCCGCCCGCTGCTCCTGTCCGGTCCGCTCGCGCCCCGCCCGCCCGCCCGCCCCTTGGCGCGTATCACCGGGTTGGTTTTGTTCCCTTTGGCGCTCTCCAGCGCACGCTTCGGTTCACGCCTGGAAGCATATCGTTCCGAGCGCTCCGAGGTGCGTCCAGGGCTCCGGCGTCGAGTGGATGTGCTGCTGCGTTCGTCGCTGTTCGACGGGTGTCTTCCTCCGTGCGCTGCATCGCCGGGACGTCCTGCGATGGCCAGCTGAGCGCGAATGCGACCTGTGGATAAAACTTGCGGTTAGTCACGCTGTTGTGAACGGCGTAATGCGCTCGCCCCTCGGCTGCTCGGACGCCACTGAACTCCTGGCTTAGGGAAGCGCCGCAATTCACGAGCATTTAGTGTGAGTTCATGTCGATGGACAGCACCACGAAGCGGCACTCGCGCGCCAGGGCTGGTAACAACGAGTGTGCGAGTGAAGAGAGAGGAAGGAAAGAGAGAGCACGACGAACGCATCTCCTGCTTCGCAGTGGCGGAACTCGACGGATCTACACTGTTCCGCGCCTCCTCTCCAGACGGAGAAACTCGAGTCGCCCGTAGGTTTTCCGAGGAACAAAGGGTTTCCAGCCGACGGCATCAGTAGCATTAGTAGTAGCCGACATGAAGGCGCCTGATCAGCAGGGGCGTCCTAGCGTCCAGTTCTTGTGCCAGCGGTGCCAGAAAATCAAGCGCGCAGCTGGCATCTACTGGTACTGCACCGCCAAGGTCGAGGATTCGGAGGATGAAGACGCCGACTATTCCTACAACTGCATGTGAGTCTTGCCTCTTAGGGTTTGCTGTTGTGCTGGTAATGCGATATGTCGGAGCGGCTCTTGGGTCTGTTCGCTCTTTGCTGTCACTGCTTCCACGTCTTTCATCCTTCCTTTTGTGACTCTTCGGTCAGTCTAACGTCGATGGCACGACATTCGATAGTGTAATGATAAAAAACGAGCGGTAGCCAGTATTCCAAGCGAACGCATTGATGGTTTTCAGTAATTAGCGTGAAATATTTATGTTTGCTTCGCACATTTCACTCTTGTTGACTGAAAGACACGTTTCACGAGGGAAATTTTACAAGGCTGCTGCCACTCATTAGTTGATTTGATTTGGCAGATACAGATAAGTGTAACGACATTACATATTCACCTCAGAGTCATTCCGAAGATAATCATGTTTAAATGACAGTGGCGGTAATATTGGTAGTGACGATATTAGTGACAAATACTTCATAACTCTTATGGATAAGGGAGCTAATGATGACAATAGTTAAACAAGTAGAAGTAGCACTTGCAATAATATGAACAGTAGAATGAATTATAAGAGAAGTTGCCCATGCCATAACGATGCTGATGATTTGAAAAAGTGCTCATAATATTACTGACATGACAACAATTGGGATACCGAAAAAGTCAATACTTATATCAACAACAAAGGGGAATGTCATGATAATAGCAAGTACCGTAATGTCAAGAGCGGAAAGGCAGAGCAAGAATACAGTACATGAAAAACAAAGGGAAAAATGAGAATTAAAACTGAGAGTGGAAGGGCAACATATGGGAGAGCAAGAGAATAGATGGAAGTGAGAACGAGATTAGACGATTGGGAAAGGGAGAAAAATGAGAAAAAGATGAGGGAAGACGAAAAAGAAGATTGGGAATGCAGAAGGGAAAAAAGGAGAAAACGAAAGGGAAGAATGGAAAAGTGAGAAGGTGAGAAAATGACAATTGGATGGAGAAGACGAAAGTAAAAGGGGTGAGAAAGGGAGGAGAAAAGGAAGACGAAGGGGGAAGAGGGCGCAAGTGAAGAGCCCAGCTGAGAGGCTCGAGTAAGAACTGTACCGGAAATCCTTTAGTCTTCCCAAGCATATTACGCCAAGGGTTTTTGGCCCCGCGCTCATTACTTTTATTTTGGTTTCTTTTGGATGATTAGGAAGGCGAATTTGGGTTGAGGGGAAGGGAGTGGGATAGGGGGTGGGGGCTCTAAGATTAGAGGAAGTGAGAGGAGAAAGGGAAGGGGTAAAAGGGGTGGGGTGCTAGGATGCTAGGAGAGATGTTGAAAGGTCAGGATTATGCTTTGATGGGGCAGAACGTGAAGGGTGGAGGGGATAGGAGGGGCGGATGGGGGGTTAATAAGTGCATGGCAAGTTTTCTGGCAAAGAGGCGGATGGCAGAAGAGAGAAGAGAAGAAAAGGAGGACGAGGTCGCTACTGACAAATTCGACATCGTTGTCACTGTCATTGAATTTGTGACTCGGTCATTACTGCTCTTAATATTATTACTACCATTACTACTACTACATTTTCACCTTCTTTTTCTTCTTTTTATTTTCCCTTCCTTCTTTTATTACTATTGCATCTGCTACAGCTGCTGTCACTGTCGGTACGAAGGATGATGAATTTGGTACACTTGCTACTTGCGCTGAAATCCCCCCGTTGCAGCCTTGCTCACGCCGGCTTGTTACTTAACCTAGGACGAGTTCATTACGTAATGATTTGCGTCGTATTCGCTGTGACGCCACTGGCGGTGCTGGAGACTTTACCCCATTCATAGCTTCTGCCTCTGCCTTCCTCCTCCTCTCCTACTTCTCCCTTCTCCTTCTCCTATATCTCCCCTTCTCCCCTCCTTCTCTCCTTCTCTCCTTCTACCCCCTTCCTCCTCCTCTCCTCCTTCCTCGTCCTCGTCCTCGTCCTCCTCTACCCTCCTCGTCCTCCTTCTCCTCTACCCTTCCTCGTCCTCGTCCTCCTCTTCCTCCTCCACCCCTTCCTCGTCCTCCTCCTTCACCCTTTCCTCGTTCTCCTCCTTCACACTTTCCTCGTCCTCTTCCTCCACCCTTCCTCGTCCTCCTCCTCCACCTCTTCCTCCACCCTTCCTCGTCCTCCTCCTCCGCCTCCACTTCCCCTTCTTCCTCCTCCTGCTGCCCGTCTCCCTCTTTCCGCTTTAACCGGCCCGCCCGAGCCGAAGCCTTTTCTCTATCTCTGCACCGCCCAAGATGGCATCGCGTAGGACCGCCTCCTCCTCCTGCAATACAAATGAAGTAAATAAAACACTTTCCCGCCACAACTTCTGGCTTGCGTTGCATTTTTAATAAGCGTTGCGTGCCGTTTTTCCTCTTTTATTTTGGCCTTGTTTGCGTGTGGATTATACTATGGGTATTTTGTCTTCCTTTCCTTTTGTTGTTGGGACCCAGTATGTTCGATTACTTGCATGTCGGTGTTTGATTGTTAGGTGTTATCTTTATTTTGTTATTATTATTTTTTGTTGATACTACTGCTAGTATCGTCATCGACATCGTCATCATTGTCATGATTATGATGGTGGTGATGATGATAATGGTGATGATTTTCATGATCATCATGATCATCGTCATTGTTATCATCATCATCATCATTATCATGATTTTGATGGTGGTGATGATGATGAGGATGATGGTGATGATGATGATCATCATGATCATCGTCATCATTGCCATCATTATTATTATTATTATTATTATTATTATTATTATTATTATTATTATTATTGTACTTTCCAATTTACAGTAAATCGATGAGCTAAGGCTACATATAAACTAAAAATGTCCGAATTCCCTCATTCGGGGCAGCAGCAGAACGTTCGAACGTTGCTCGCTCGAAGCAAGCCAAGCCAGCGCGAGCAGAGGCGAAGGGAAGGCCCGCGCGCTTCCCTCCGTGGCTCTTGGCTGTGTGTTTTCCTTCTGTTGGCGCGTAATGGCCATTGGTCGCGCGGGTTTACGTGGCCGCCAAGTCTTGGTGTGACTCTCCTTCCAGTCCTACGGCGAAATGTGTAACAGCTGCTGTGTTCTGATAGATTTCTGTCTCTTTCTCTGTCCGTTTTCATTTCTATCTGTCTTTGCATTTGTTCTATCTTGCGCGACGGTTTTCGCTATTCGTCCGTCTCTTTGCAGATCTCTGTATTGTTTTCTGTACGCTCTCTCTCTCTTTTAATCTCTCTCTCTCTCTGTCCCTCTCCCTCTCTCCCTCTCTCTCCTCTCTTTCTGCCTGTACCACTTCATCATTAATGTTCGTTTGTGGGACACCGACTTCCCCTTCGGCGCCGAGTCCCGATAATCCGAGACAAAACACGGGTATGAAAGATAACACGGCTGCATCTTCGCAACATTGTGTCTCCCTCATTTTGTTAAGAGATTGAAATTGGAGGGGAGGAGAGAATACATATTTATTATGGGGAAGCACTTCAGTGTCGGATATGGGCGAAATTTCATTTCATTTTTAAGCTGTCCATTACAATGTAAGTACCATAATTTTCAGTGTCCGTTCCTTTCAAAGATATTTGATTGTATGAAACATTTCTGACGTTAACAGTTTTCCTATAGTTTCCTCTGACATTTCCTGCACTCGAATGATGAAGCGAGACAAAGT